GGAAATGGCTCTTCCAAAGCTCATTCCAGCCCCTGCTGCCTCCAGAACCTGGCCCCATGGCGCACACCTGGAGGAGAGATGGAAGGCTTCCAGCATGGGCTTTTTCTGGTCCAGAACAAACCATTCTTTGCGTGTTTTCACATCCTGAGCGTGGGAGGAAGTGATACTTGCTTCTGTCTTATGAAAATGATGGTGTTTATACGAGAATCATCTTGCTAGCTGGGGACCGCAGGAAAGGCTGGCGGTCACGTGGGCAACAGAGAGGCCTTGTCCTCCCCCGACCCTCTCTTTGGGTCTTGGAGGGTCAACTTCTGCCACTTCTTCAGAGCACGGGGGGTTTCCAAAGCTCTGCCCTAAGGACCCGGAGGCATTTCCTGGAGGGAACTGGGAAGGAGGCGAGTCCACAGTCACCACTCAGCAGTGCTCAGGTCACCACCTAGGCATGGCCCAGAGGAAGTGGGCTCTGCGGCAGGGCCCTCTGGGTAGTGGGGAGCCACAGTGGCAGCGACTGAGGAGTGGCTTCTGTCCCGTGCAGTGATGGGCGTGAGCTGGCTGTGGTCAGTCCCTAGAGAGGAGGGATCCCATCCAGAGGCGGGAAGCGCCCGCGGGGTGCTGTGTCAGCCCAGCCCCTGGGCCTGAGGTCACCTATGCTGTGTCCGCCTCCAGGGTCCCATGACCTCTGCTGGAAACGTCATGCCATGTGGTCAGGCCACGCCTGCTCTGGGAACTGAACTGCACATTTCCTGCCTTTCATCTTTGGCGTGTTGGGGATGACTATGTCAAAATAAGCAAACCACAGCACCGTCACTGGGGCAAGGGGCAGGGCAGTGGCTCGGAGGGTGTGGAGAGGACTCTGAGGGGGCTGGCAAGCAGCCTGCTGGTAACAGAGAAGAGTTGGGAGGGAGTGCTGTAGCAGGAGCCATCTGCCCACCCCAGGCCATGCACGTCTTCCTGCAGGCCGAGGACAGCGACCGTGCGGAGATGAGGCGCACAGCCTGTGTGGGGGCACGCGCTGCAGTTGCCAGAGCCAGACTGCTAATTCTGGGCTCTTCCTGGGTGATGCTGGAACGCGTCACTGTGGAATTTTATTTTTATTAGCTGGAGAGTGTCAAGCCCGCCCTTGATCTCCTGCCAGAGCAGATTTTTGCAGACAAGGCTGGCTTTGCAGAGGCACATTTAGAGGACCTCACTGCAGACCATGAAGCACAACACAACACCAAGCACAACATGGGGGTGGGGGTGTGAAATTAATTTTGGAAAAAACGCAACCTATCAGAACTGATGCCCCCAACAGGAGAACCTTGTGTCATCTCCTTGGGGTTGGCAGGGGCAGAGAAAAGGGTCTGCACTTACTTCCTCCCAATACAAGGGGAAGCATTACTTCATCAGTGTGTGAGAAAACTTGCGCAGGCGATAGTCACAGGTCTTTGTAGGGCACAGCACCACCTGGCTTGTTGAATTTTCCCCCTAATCCCAGTTTGCTTCCCCTCTCCAGCCACCCCCCAGCAGGCTCCCCCAACCCAGGTTTTCTTTCAGTCTCTCATCTTGAAGGCTTGGTTCTATCTCATGGGCTGCAATGTTCAGCCCACACAGGCTCCTAGGAAGCTCCCTGCATTGTGGCAACAACCTCTCATTCCCCAAACCTGTTTCCCAGGTCTCCCTTTTCATCTACTCGGCCCAATTCCCTTGTTCTCACTGTCTTAGCTTAGTTCTCTGACTCTTTCTTCATCCTTCTCAAGCCATCCGGGAGAGAGCAGATGATCTGTCTCCATCACAAGGAGGAATTTCCATCTGCAAAGTATCAAAATTCTCTGCAATAGGCAAAAAAAGGGATACGCAGATAGGGCACACCTGGCAGGGTGGGGACGCTTGTCCCAGATCCAGGCACTGAGAACATGTCCTGAAGGGGACCGTTTTAATAAGTGACAAGGTCCTGCTTCCCTAACATGCCCTACAGACTTCAGAAGAGACATGAACACAGAAGTGCAATGCCCCAAATTTACCAAGTGCTTTTCTCTCTCTAGGAGACATAAGCCAAAGCTCAGTCTCCAGGCAATGGCATTTGTAAGAGGCCTGGTTCATACGTACTCGGAGCAGGACCGGGCGGTTCTATCTCAGTCTAGAAGCAATCTCATTAGGTCTGGATCCTGCCTGGCTGGGACCTAAAATTGCTGCAACCAGATCACAAAGCAGGGACTCCTGGTGGTGCACGTCTTGCCACTCCAGGGACTTCTTAAAGTCCTCGGGCCTGGGAAAGGTGGAGAAAGCCAGGGGACAGCATTGTTTGTCCAGAGAAGGGGGCCTCTCTCTGGACATCCCCTAGCTCCTCTCATGTTCAGAATGGTTTCTCTTGTCTTCCTGGGCTCCTTGTGTTTCTAAGAAAGAAGGCAGCAAGAAAGAGGATGGGGCTAGGAGTCAAGAGGATGAGGTGAGAGGACCCTGGAATCCGTCTCCTTCTCTCTGAGCTCAGGATTCCCAGCACCACTCAACTGCTTTTATCTTTCTGGAAGCAAGAAGCAGGCAATATGAAGTTAAATTTCAACAAAGCAGCACTAAGTACTTCCAAAAGCAATTTTACAGAAAAACAGAGAAAAGGCCAGCGTGCACGAAATTGGCACAGCCGTTATTCCTTTGACATTTTGCAGAGACTGGGGAAGGAACAAGGCATTGCGAAGAGTCCCACTGGGAGACTGCATACCTGGAACCATATGGAATTTCTCCTGACTGCAGCAGGACCCGCGCTCTATAAAGCGCACTGTCTCCAGTTCGGAAAGATGACCTCTTCCATGGGCTGAGTCCTTTCCCTTGCAGGGACGTCCCTCAGTTTCACGTCTCAAATCCGTCTGCTGGTGGCGCTCTAAAAGCAGAAGAGGGTGGACGCACCCTCAAGCGGTCCGGCGAGGGCTCAAATGAGTCACACACAGATAGCATCCCTCTTCTTTAAGGTCTTGTACTTTAAACATTCATATGCATTTTGCATTTGTATTTATTTTCATACCGAAAAAATAGGCCAGGGACTTGAAGCCTGGACCAGGGTGGAAGAGAGAAACTCTCCCACAGGGTTAGAACTGGACCTGAGTGAGGCTGTAGCAAGAGTGCAGGCTGCGGGGACAGGGTCCCCTGGGGTGGTGGGGCTAAATGGTGATTCCAGTCAAAGGTAGGGGCAGGGCAGCAGGAGTTGGGAGGTGTTGAGGCCAGCTCTAGAGAGGGATGGGACTACCCTCAGAAGATAGCCTCCTGACTTGGGACCCCCTGCCCAGTGCAGGCATGGCTGAGCTAGGAACCACCTTCTTCTGTGGCTCTGCCTGTATTCAGCTCACCCATGTCTCTCAGGATCTCACCTATGAGGCTGCATTCTTCTTCTGTTTTCAGTGGCCCTTAAAGCTCCAGGCCAATGACAGGAGACTTTGACGAGAGGTGGGGGCAGGCTGTGGCTGCCCCACCTGAAGGCCAGACAGGGCTGTGTCCCCCCACTGCCAAGGAAAGGGTCCTCAGGTCTTGTTCTCTGCTTCTCCAGTTTGTTTCTGACTGACAACTAAGCAGACATACTTCTGGGTTTACAAGTTGTTCTTCTCTCACTGTAAGTATTAATCAATATTTGGGTTTTAGTCATAACATAGCTAATGCATAATTTTGTTTGCTTCACAGAAAATTAAATCAGGAATTGGCAGCATATTAAAATAAATGGTTAAATTGATTAATTTTTTTCTCCAAGTCTTCAAATGAAATTGAAGTTCCAGGCAGATGCACCATGTTTATCCAGCGGCCCCACACATCTCACCCTGCCATGCCTGGAAACTGCTAATGTGCCCAGAATTGTGACAAAACTACGTCAGTCCCATGAATGCACCAAGTCTGAGCACACAGAACGGACTTTAAATAGTACTGATCATGGCTACACACTATGCTAATGTATCTAAAAGTAGTATGATCAGTGAAATAGTGCTTGAGTTCAATTCAGCCTTGGCTAGCCAATCTTGTAAAGTCTAGGTGAGTAATCATGGAGCTGTCACCCATGTTCAAATTGGTTGTAAGGCCTGTATAACAGAAAGAGATGGTACCGTGCCATAAATATTTGAGCACATCTATCCTCTTCTCCACTGCGCTGCAGAACATGAAGTAACTCCATCAGCTGTGAGGTCACATACAAGATTTCACTCCGAGGGATTCACGCCTTGGGCTGTCCTCCAGATTCCTAGCTCTTTGATATTTTGGCCATGTTTCAGCCAAAGGGATGTACAAGTCTTTGTTAGAATCAGGCTGTGATAGACATGTGGACAACTAACACTACTGTCTTAAAGGACAGGAGAAGAGCGTAGTGACCCCACTAAAAACTACAATACTGTAGTGTTTCTTGTACTGTGTCTGCTTCAGCACAGTCTGAGAGCCCCGACAGACTTTTATCTTCAGAAGTGTTGTAGAGGAGCAGATACTGCTCATGGCTTTTAGCATGCAATGAATATAGTGATCACCAAGGTCACATGCAGTTTGAAAGGCGAAGTACGTAGCTAATTTGATTGCATTTCTTGCTCCAGTGAAACTAATTCCACTGGAAAAGAAAGGGAAAATCCCATTGTAAAAATGCATACAAGGGTGAAAAAAATATTTTAAGTGACCTCTTTACCAATGCAATTATTGCCTTTGAGAAAAACCACTGTAAAAATAAGATTAAACATCTCAAATTATCTGCATTTCTGCTGAGATAGACATAAAATACTGTAATATTAGTGTGTGCTCTTTTCTGAAGCAAATTCTCCATTAGTTTTATTTTTGATAATTCCTGTCATAGTGTCAAGAGTAGAATATTCTTACTCCAAATTAAAACTAATTAAAAGTTATTTAGGGAACACAAGTGAATAACAATGTTTAACAGTTAGCGCCTCTCAGAATAGAAACTCAGGCGGCTGACAAAATGGAAAGGCGTTGACTTCTAAAGACTCAAGCTTGCTTATGTAACTTTCACACTCAGGCTCCTACATGGTCCGGCCTTGGCACTGCTCCTGTCCTGCAGAAAAATAGGATTGAAAACAAATCTCTGTTTCTGGAGAAAATGCCAAAGGTAGGAATGTGTTGTAAATATCCAACAACTATGTCTTTAGAGATACCATTTGGAGTTCTTTCTCACTCCCAAGTCTCTGGCCAACCTCTCTCCTTCTCCTCCCTTTCCCTTTCCTTCTTCCACCTCCTCTTCTTCCTCCTCTTTCCAGGCCTCTCAGCCCCTGCACACACTGGGCCTGGCCTTCTTCTCTCTCTGCCTCTGGTCTTTGTTGTTCCTTTGGCCTCAAAGGCTTCCTTAGTTTACTTCGGACTGCTGTTGCCTAGACTCTGCCTGCTGAAGAAAAGTTCCACCTACTCTGTTGGCAGAAGGTGGGGGGGAGCGGATGCATTACATTTCGCAGCAGATTCCTTTTTTTCTTAATTTATGTCTGTCCCAGGGAACACGAGCAGCTAGAGAAGGATTTTGCCATCGAAGCATTTCCTGAATTAATCAGGGATAGTAGGGTGGCAATGGCCAGGCCTTCGCTTTAAGTTGTCTGACGGCCACAGGGAGACACACACACTGTCACCACTCACCCAGGTCAGGATGTGCCCTGGACACCGTATATCCCACTAATTTTCTACTTCTGAAAGGAAGGTTCAATTTTTTTTTTTTAAAAATGTACATCACAGTTGTCCTTGCTGAAGCAAGGGATGGAAGGAAAAAGCACAGCCCTTTGGTCACCTCGCTCCTTTCCCTCCTCCTCCATATCTCTGGCGGCCACCGCAGAAGGGGCTGGTTGGCACCATTTGGACCGTGAGGGGGTGGACAGAGCACCGTACTAGGGATTAGGAATGTCAGTTCCTATTGTGTCGGCTCTACTACTGCAGACCTCGGTGTCCATGGACACAACACAGGTCGCACCGGCCTGCTGGGTTGCTGCGACAGTAAATGGAGACAACAGGCTTCTCCCCAGTGGTGATTTCCTCCCTCCCGTCGGGTTCAAGGGAAAAAAGGGTGTACTGCTGGACATGGCCAAGCCACCTGTGCAATCCAGCAATGACAAAGCCAGTAACTGCCACAAAACCATCGGCCTGACCCTCATGGCACCGAGGTTGGCTGGAAAACAACAGAATAAAAAGAACCTGAGCCCTTCAGGCATGCAGAGGCCCCAACCGAGGCAGATCAGCGGTGTGACTGGATGAACTCTCGGGCTGAAGAAGCCTTGATTTTCTGGATTCATCTGGCCCCTAAGTTCCTGGAACTGGAACTGTAAAATGGAGAAGCAGGGTTGGACGCTTGGGCTGGGAGCTGACTCCACTATCTTGGTGGTTGTGATACTGGGGGTAGAACCAGGGCCCTGTGCATGTGTTCCATTCCCTTTCTAGACTCTTCTACGGGGAGGCAGCTGCTCCAGGTCCCCCCCACCGACTATTCCGGGCAGCCTCCCTCCTGGGAAAACGCCCCCTGGGCTGGCGGCCTGCTGGGCTTCTCCTAGAGACAAGGCCTGAGACCGTGATACCGCAGCCGGAGAGCAACCCTCCCCAGCACTTTAATAACTTTGTTGCCACCTGCTGGCCGCTGGACTGCATCACGTAGCTCTGCAAACCAGAGCCTTGGGCCAAGGAACTGTGAGCTCCTGGTAGGGACACTCAGATGTGACTCCAGGCCGGCTGAGGGCTTCTCCAAGGGGACCTGGGGAGATCTTTGGTTATTCCATTCATCGTGCCACACAAGAAGGTGGACTTTTTCAAAAAGTGACACTTCATCCGGGCTTGTTTCATCAGCCAGTTACAAACCCTTGGAGCTATACTGCCCAGCGCTGGCAGTGACTGGTAGTCACAGCTCATTTGTCCCCTGCAAACATTACCCAGTGTCACCTACCCCATCCTTGGGGTAGGCTTAACTCCGTTCATTGCTTTATCACTAGTGACTTATGAAGGCCCACTTCATACCCGGCTGCCAGCCAAAAGCTGGGCAGACAGCACTGAGCAAAAACAGGCATGGTCAGTGCCCTCATGGGTCTGTAGCCTAGGAGGGGAGATAGACAACCACATGATCACACAGGCAAACTTCACAGCACACAAAGGTGGTGGGATGATAGAGAAATATAACTGGGATATGAGCAGCTCTAAAAGACTCTGCTTGCTTCTAAATGGAGATTTGGGCTATTTGATGTACACTAAACTTTTTAAGGTGTGATCAAAAATACAGTGAATGTTTAAAATTTGAAAAACTTTATTACAGAATAGTCACATTGCTATTAAACCTCAAAATACTCCCCTTTGTTTCCAACGTACTTATCCCATCATTCTTGCCACTTTCTGAAGCGGCTCTGGACGTCCTCTTTCACGGCTGCCTCGATGTCCTGAATGGATTCAAAATGCTTACGGCAGTTTCTGTGAACCTGACGTTTCACAGAGCCTCATTCACTGATCTGGCACTGTGTGACCTCTGGCTCTTCCCCAGAGTCAAAATGACCACAAATTATGCTGTTATACCTCTCACCCAAGAAAATGGGCACAAAATAGAAATGTTTTCTTTTCTGGGCAGTACTGCGGCTCATACCTAAGGCCTTGGGTAGTCTAGGCACCCTCTCACCTCTGAGCTGTATCCCCAAGTCCCCAACATTCTTTCCACTCTACTTGTCACCCTCCAGCTACTGCCTTATTTCTTTGCCATTCTTTGCAGTGAAGCCCTTCTAATTCTATCATTCTTGTTTTGTTTTGTGACAGAATCTTGCTGTGTAGACCAGGCTGGGCTTGAATTTATAATGCCCCTGCCTCAACCTCCCAGAGTGCTGGGGTTACAGGTGTGTGCCACCACCCTGGCTTGGAGTAGGTTTTAAAAATAATAGACAAGCCATGCATGGTGGCCCTCACTATAATCCCTGAACTCTGAGAGCCCAAAGCAAGAGGAGTGCAAATGTGAGCCCAGCCTGGGCAACTTAGCCTGTCTCAAAGTAAAGAATCAAAAGATGAAGGGGGCGGGGAGGGAGGGGAAGGGAAGTGGGACATAAGAAAAACTAAGACATGTTACATGAATGTAATCAGTATGCACTGCAAAAATGCACTAATAAAATTAAAAATTTTTTAAAAATGAAAGTCAAGACCTAAAATAAAAATAAGAGGGCTGGAAACGTAGCTCAGGGGGAGCTACATCCAGAGTTCAGTCCCCAGCACTGCAAAGCAAAATAAAAACAAAAGCAAAACTAACAAAAAACCCCTATCCACCTAGTTTGGTAAATGCCAGGGTCACCATGGCCTCTGAATTCCTGATCTCTATGGGCATTTCTGTCTGCCCTGGGCAGGTCCTGCCTGGCTCCCAGAGCCACCCCTCCCGAAGAACTGCTTCCTTCCTAGGCTCCTTTGCTGCATCCTCCTCCTCTTCCAAACTTTCTAATATTCATTCCTTCCTCTGCCTACACTCGTTTGAGCTTTTCCAGTTGCAGCTTTAGACACCATCTCATCTAACCTAGGTCTTCTTCATTTATGGCTCAAATCCAGTTCCCACCGAGATTTCTAATGGGCATCTCAAGCTTCTCATGCCCCTCTCAAACTCCTGATTTTGCGCCTTTAAACCTGCTCCATCCAGGCTTCTTTAGTCCACTTATTGGCAACTAAATCCTCCCTAATGCTCAAAATGCTCCGACCAAATGCTGCAAATTTAGAATGTACTCCTTTTCACGGGCTCCTCACTCACGGGCAATAAGAACAGTGTGTCCCTCTTCCTGGGTGGCTCTCTGACCTCCTCTCCCAGCCGTCTTCCCATCTGCTCCAGCCACTTTCCCCAGGGGCCATCGGTGGTTCCGTCTGCTTGAATGTACATCCGACAGAGAGCTGCGTCTCCTTTGTGGAGTGTTTGCTCAAATGTCCAGTGTTCAGTGAAGCCTGCTCTTCCCACAGGGGTTAAAATCGCAACCTCCCCAGCTCTCCAGATCCCCTTTGCTTCCAAAGTGTTTTCTCTGGTCAGATACAAAGCAATTTACTTACTGTACATATATTAAATATATATATTTTGTCCGTCTGACTTCAGTTAGAAGTCATTTTTTCTCAGGAACAGGAATCTTTGCCCTTTTTGTTTATTGATGTATCCCAAATGCTTGGAAAAGTACTTGAAACATAGTAAAACCCAAAGAAGTGAAGTTTTAAGGGATGCATGGAAAGGGCGTGAAGGGCATAAACTACACCACTGAGCTGGACATTTCTGGGTAAGATGACAATGCTAAACATGTTTCATTTTGATCATCTGTTTTTCTAATTTTTTCTAAATAATAAACTTTTAAATGAAAAAAAAGCCTTACTCCCAAGAACGATACCAGTTTTATACTAAGTCTACAGTTTCAGCTGTTCGCCTAGAGAGAAGATTGAGTAAGATGGTGGGAATGTGGGAAAATCACTGCTAACATCATAATAAGAACCCTCCACCCAGGCAGTAGGAGAAATTCTGTCTCCATCTGAGGTCCCCCAGAGGCTGATGCTGGAGGAAGGAGCGGGAGGAAACCAGGGTATCCGTCCTGGGACACTGGCAGAGGGCTGTTTCTGGAGGCAGAAACACACTTTTGCACTTCTGACTTGCCTCATAGGTTTCTACAGCCAGAAAAAATATTCCCCAGGCAGAAGAGGGCTGCAGGTGTAGCACTCAGCTCTTTTCTCAGAGTATAGGGGCCACCGAGAGGACCAGGTGGGCACCAGGAGGGTCTGCGACAGAAGTTCGCTTTCTGCAGGCGATCTGCTCTCATGGTTTCTAGCTGTCCCCCGAAGAGCGTCTTCCCTGATCCTTCTCCTCCACCGCTGCACCTGAAATGGGCAGAGGACAGTGCCCTCCCTGGGAGAGTGCAGATTTTGTGACCTGCTTTCTTGGGTGCATGTTTGCGCACCCGAGAGCTTTTGTAGTCTGAGTTTGTGAACTCTCTGTCATGCAGTGTCTTCAAATGCTTTGTAAGCATCTCAGATCCTTGTTTCCAGTCCTCTCCCTGTGCCTGCGTGCATGCACGCACGTGCAGGATTCTCTGCTAGACTGATTTATTGTTTTGTGCCCTAAGCTCTATGCCCCTCTCTTTTACCTAAATAGAAGCCATGCTGTTGCCATGTGAAGAAACCAGGCTTGGGTGGGAAGAAAGCACCCACAATCTGATCTTTGCTGGGGGAAAACTACCTATTTACTGAAATGTTTTAAATGGGCTTTTGTTGCTCCAAGCCATTTTTTTCTGTTACCACTTCTTCTTTGGGCTTAGAGCAGAAGGCTCCAAATTTCATTCAATTCCTTTTCATTCAACTCTTTCTTGTACTAACTTGCCAAGTAAAGCAAATGAAAGCCACTGAGCACCAACTTTTTGTCTACCAATCTTTCTCCTAGGGCCACAGCCCCAGGAAATACTTTGCTCACCCAGTAATTGAGGACAATAGTTTATTAAATAATTTGCTACTATAGAACAGGGGTCATCATCTTTTCAGCCTCCAATATTAATTTTTCTTGCCTTCCCCGACAGTGGTATATATTTTATCTTTAAAAAATTAAGTTTATTGGTATATCAGATATACATAGTAACATTCATCACAGGGAATTTGTACCTGTACATGCTGTATCTTGATTCTTCTTTTTCCCATTCCCATCCTCTCCCTTCAACCCCTCTTCCCCTCATTTACAAAAGCTTTGTTTTCATTTTTTCTTTCTTTTCTCATTTCTTTTCTTTTCCTTTCCTCCTCCTGGTGCCATATCTTTCAGGGTTTATTTTAGACCACAGTGCCTCAGTGTACAAGGAGCTAACTTTTATATTCAGCATAAAACTAGCTGCTGTACAAATAAACCCATAATTTCAATGGCAATAAATTTTGCTCTCTCACTGATGAAACAGCACTGGGTTAGTGGGGTGCCCCCTCCACATAATCACTCAAGGATCCAGGATGTCCCACGCAAAGCCATCCTCAATATATGGTGACCAAGGAGGCCCTGGGGATCCTACCCATTCCAGCCAGCCCAGTGGCAGGCAGGGAGCGGATGATCTCTGGTCTGAGGTCGGTGAGTCTAAGAGAGTTTCTCTTCATGTCTCACAGACCAGAGCTCGGTCATACAGCCCCACATAGATGAGAGGCTGATGGGTGTGGGCAGGGGATCAGTATTTCCTGGCTAGTTGTCACACTGCTATGCTCTGGAAGACAGAGAAACAATGTTTTAGTGGACAGTTAGCTGGTCTGCAGTTTAAACAGCAAGATATAAACGTGAACTTGCAACCTCTGCTACTCTGCAAGGGCCTTCTGTAATTACTGGCTTGTGCCCACTGGCATAGGGCAATCTGCTGGGCCCCTGTCTTTGGGCTGGAGATTCTCTCACCTGATTGGGTCTGGGAAGGAGGCAGGAAAGAAGCAGGTGGGGGATCTTTACATAACTATTTCCTTCTACGAACCCACCCCAGCCCTGCCAAGCAGCTCAGTTTGGTCAAAACACTTCTCAGACTGAGCAATTACGAACTGCTGGTTTTCAGGAATTTTTTAAACAAAGGATTTGAAAAGCTGAACCACTCTGCTCCTGGCCTCCCCGAGTGAGAGTAGGCAGAGAATAGGCGGAAGGAAGCAGGAACTGAGAACAACTGCAGCCGCAGCGGGACACTTTCCCCACTATTACTCTCTGCTGAATAATGGCACACGGGAGATGGCAGTTTGCCCTGGCTAACGGCTCCTGTGGGATGGGCGCTGGCTGGTACAGGGCCAGGGCTTGGAGCAGCTACTCTGGGGCCACTGAAACTGGTTTTATGGAAGAAGCTGTCTGTGTTAAAAAAAACAAGTGCTATCAAATATGGAGGAGCCTCTAGCAGCAGATTCAACACCAACCACAACTCCTCCACCTCACGCAGCCATGGAATTCCGGGCGCTCGGCTCATCCGGAACCAGGGGAAATGCATCTGCCTGTCTGGAAACTGTGGACTGGTGTGACCTAGCAGGATTACACAAACAGCTGATGTCTACTGAGTTCAAAAGCCCTAACTGAATCAACACGCATCCATGTGGTTCTGGTTTACACAAAGGGCTGAGGGCTGCTCACCACTCAAAAGATTTTTTTTTTTTTTTTGGCACTACTGGGAATTGAACTTAGGGTCTTTGCCCGGAGCCACATCCCCAGCCCTCACCTTTTTTTCCCCCTTCCTTTGAAATAGAATTTTACTAAACTGCCCGGGCTAGGCTCAAATTTGCAATCCTCTTGCCTCAGCCTCCCAGTGTGCTGGGATTACAGGTGTGCACCACTATGCCTGGCTTCAGAAGAATTCTTTTGTGTAGGTCTTTTCCTTAAGAATTGCTCGTGGAGCTAAGGCTGTTCCTCAGTGATAGAGTGCATATGTAGGGTGTGAGGTCCTGAGTTTGACCCCTGATACTACAAAAACAAAAAACCTGCCTTGTGATGCATTCAAAATAAAAGCCAGCTCACACTCTTTGTCAAACGACCGTAAAGTGGGGCACACCTGGATCAGCACAGGCCCGAGCAGCGTCCTGGGCGCAGGGTGGAGACAGCTCAGCTGTCACAGCCGCTAACAGGTGGTGTAAAACAATAGCTCCACTGACTCCACTTGCTTCCCACACCCTGTAGCAGCCAAGTGTCCAGCCAGACAGCAGCAGGGAGTCACACAGGCTGCCACGCTGCTCCAGGTCCCTACCAGTGCCCACAGCCCATGGAGGCCCAGCCTTTCCTCCTGCTCTTCGGCCTCTGCTCCGGTAAGTACGGCCCCCAGACCACAGTCTGGCTTCTTTGATGGGAACACAGAATGGCAGGCTCTTGCTAGTCAGAGGCTACTCTGCTAGTTTCTTCTTGATGTTGGCTTGATTGGGGTTTTGAACAAAGATTTGTAGATTGTGTTACCCCCTTAACGTGGGAGCTGCCCAGTCAAAGGCCACAAGATAGACATTCAGCTCTGTCCATGCCTGGTGTCCGACTCAGCCACACAAACACCCTTAGGCCACTTGAGCAATCTGGACCGCCAGTGGACCACGATAGCATCCTGAGCTGCTCTCATCCCTGAACAACCAGAGGGACATGGCGCAGGAGCTTACAGATAACTGGGTTAGCAAGGCATTTTGCTGCTCTAGGATAGTTCAGATAATGAAGAGCATTGATTGACAGCCACAAGTGTTGGAAGAGAAACTTGTTGATAACTATAACTAAACTCCCTGGAGATGAAACAGTTTGTAAACTATTTTAGCCTTCTGAAGTTAAACAAATGAAACCCATCTGAATATACCCCTGCGTACTTCCTTTTAAAAGCATGTTACTATATGCAGGTTTGGGTTTAAATTGAAACTATAAAACCTTGCACAGCCTTTGTCCTACACTCCACTCTGGAATGTGTGGCAGCGCAGCAACTGAAACACTACCCTGAATCCCAGACTTCTGGGAGGGGAAAACAGGAGATGTCTGCTGATTGCTTCACGTAAAAGTTTACTGGTGATATCACCCCAGCTGAGAAACAAGGTGCCCGACATCCTGTGATTTCTCTTCTCTAATATTGCTCTGACAAACACAGGCCTTCTGGGCAAGAGGGAAAGAATTGCATTATTACATTTTTTCAGTAATAAAGTTGAGGGAAGTACAGTAAACTCAGATAAGTTGTATCCTGTGGGATTTGGACTCAATCCAACCAAAGCTAGCCTGGTATGCACTTCTGTGTGCTCGTGTGTGCGTCCACATGTGTGTGTGTTTGCGAATGCCATGCTCAATGAAAATTCTTTAGGTATATGCTTCTATAAAAATATTTAAGGGGTCTGTTAGGATACCAAAGACCTCCAAAAATGCGTGTTTCGCTATGAAAAGAAGTAGGTGATGTGTATGTTGATCAAACCTTGGGTTTGCTGATACTGATTCCCATGGGTGGCTCGCAGGAGTTTAGATCCAGACCAGGCAGCCCAACACGCTCACTGCATGATTGTAAGGAACCTGATTAAAGCTACAAAATGACCTGCCCCAACCTTGTCATTTGTAAATTTTGGATTTTGGTCAATGGAGATTTGGTTTGTTACATGCATCACCAGGAAGCCTGAAATTGCCAAAGCAGCGAGAGATACGGCATCGGGTTGAGGTAAGAATTGCAAGGTGGTTATTAACATTTCAAAGTTCCTTTTTCCCAGCCCAGGTGGCTCTTTCCTATGTAAAAATATAGACTGAACCAGTATGGTATAGAAAGTACATTTTGAAATTGTGGTTGAATTCCCCTACTTAGAATGAATTCTTCATGGGCAAAATTCTCATTCATTTCAGGTACACTTTTTCCCTGTGTTAGCTTTGCACATAACCATCTCTGTTCTATTTATACAGCACCTTTCATTTCAACCTTTTCCTCTCTTCCGCCTCCGGAGTCCTAAGTACTTCACTGCGTATTACTTTCCAACTTATTCACAGTTACTTATGTAAATGAAAAATGTTAATCTCCACGAGGGTAGATAGAGACAGGATTCATGCCACATTCACTTTCCAATATCTCAAAGCTCCTAAAACAATATTTACATAAGCGAACACTCAACAAGTACTTGATGAATGAACAGAGTTACCATCTGAATAAAGATTACCGATATAATTTTGCAAAAAGGGGAAATTTTGATATGATTTATTTGTCTGTTTATTTTTGCCTGGGCTTTTTATGAAAGTTACTTACTGTGCCTCACTAAGTCCATGACGAACTAGTCCAACTCTCCAAACCGTATTTGAGTTGGACAGGAAGTCATAGAATCTGCCTTCCAGTCTTGTAAGTTTTCTACCCTCTTAGTCTGTACCAAGGAAACCAATCTGAGAAATGGAGACCCATACTTAGGCATTGCACTCAGGTAGGCTGAGGAAGGAAGATTTCAAATTCAAATCCTGCCTGACCAAACTAGCAAAACCCTGTCTTTAAAAAAAAAAAAGGCTGGAGACATAGCTCAGCAGTAGTGTTCCTGGGTCCAATCCCCCAGTACCTAAAAAAAAAGAGAGAGGAAGGGAAAGAAAAGGAGACCAATTTGGAAATTCCTTATGGGAGGAACAAGGCACCTTGTCATTGGCTAAGTGGGACAGAAGCGGGTAAATATCACTGCAATGCTGACAGGACTGTCCTCCAAGTCCTCCCCTTTGCTTAGGGGGCCATAGTTTGGCCAGATCGTTTTTTGATAGTTTTTGTGCAACATATTTCTAACCGCCTCCTCTATCCATTGCTTTCTGGTATGTTCTTCCTGTCAAACTGAAATAAACAGTGGTTAAAAGCCACAACCCAGGTCAGTGCCAGCAGGCAGGGCACTCAGTGATCATCACCAGGTCCCAGTCCCCATGGTGGTGGTGTGGCTGCAGCCAGAGATGGGAAAGGTGGGGAGCACAGGAGGACAGCCATGGCCCAGGGGCTCATGGAGCACCCTTAACAGTGGGTCTTTAATTAAACACACTCTCTTGAGGGGTCCCTGAATGCAGGTGGCTCAGGGAAGTATCCTATGAAGGCTCCGCATGGTTGGGCACCTTTGGTATCCTTGGAAACTTTAGAGTTCAGAAAACTTATGAGACCACAAATAATTGGGAGAGGTCAGGGGTTTCCTATGTAGAGTCCATGTTCATCAGCTTTTCATTGCTGTGCCTGAATTCCTGGGAAAAGCTATCAAAGGAGGGAAGGTTTATTTGGGCTCACAGTTTCAAAGATTAATCCATGGTCACTTGGCTCCCTGGCTCCTTGGGCCATGGTGGGGCTGAACATCTTGAAAGAGAACATGGGGTGGAGGAAAGCAGATCTTCCTCTGGTGGCAAGACAGGAGAGAGACAAGAAGAAGCCCAGAGGAAGAAGCAAGAGACGACATACAGCCCCCAGGGGCAGCCCCATGACCACTCCCCTCAGTGAGGCCCCTGTTCAGAGCACATCGGCTCTGAACTCAGCACTGGGCTATGAAGTTAGTGCTCTCATGATTCCAAAGCCCCACTCAGAACACATGAGTCTTTCATGGGGCATCTTAGAGCCAAACCATAACAGAGCCCCTGAGGGTAAAAAACGAAGACATTTAAACTATGCTGAAAGCTTAAAAATCTGACCGGAACTGATATAGTTACTTTAAGGAGCAGAGTAATTCCACTTCTGACCGGCAGGGGAGCCATGAATGCATTGCTCAGCTCTCTGAGTCTCAGTTTCCTCCTCTGTAAAGCAGGGACAAGATTAGTATTGATCTCACCCAGTTGTGAGGATTGAGCAAATGTATATAAAAACACCTATAAGAGTATCTGTTGTGTACCTGTAATTCCAGCACTTTGGAGGCTGAAGAAAGAAGATCATGAGTTCCAGCCTGGTGTGGGCAGTTTAGCAAAACTCTGACTCAAAATAAAAAATAATACAAAGCCCTGGGTTCAATCCCCAATCTCTCTGTTTCTTGTTCTCTCACACTCACACACACACACAAGAAAAAAAGAAATAAAGGTATCTGGCACACAAGTTGTGTTGTATTGACAATTGTTTTAACTAACTAATAAAAATAGAAAAAAGATTATTACTTTTTACACAGTATTTTGTTTCTAAACTTACAAACTGAGGACTGAAGCAGAAAAATAATTGAGAAAAATGATAACCTCTCTAGGAGATAATCAGTTCATACTACTGGGCAAAAGGTGAAAGCACCTCATTCATTCAACACTGAGAGTTTTCTTGCCCACAGAGAAGTCACGGCCTCTGCTGCAGCCTGCGGGGAGCGGAGGTCGGGTTACATGAATCAGGCAGATGGGCTGCATGTCCACTTCCTCTGATGGTGTGTGTGTTACAGCTTGAGTTACAAAGATCCTCAGCGGGCACTTGTCGGAATTCAGGACACATTTTCTCCAGGAATAAAGACTCACACAGTTGTGGTGCCACACTAGTAACAGTAAGAGTTGGCACAGGGGCACAGCTCAGAAGGACGGGCTCCAGTCAGTCTTGCCTTTCCAGCCACATGACCTTCCTCAAGGGGCCCACCTCCCTGAGCTGGGAGGGGCACATGCCGGACTGGACAGAGAAGGCTGTATGCTTTGTCTTGAAGGGACAGGTAGAACAGATTCCCTGGATTCACTCACGTTCTGAATAGGAACCCTGAACCCAGGTCGACAAAGTGCAGGCTTTCATTCTATTTAAACAGTTTAACTGGGACATGGATCGACCAGCAGTGATTTTTTTTTTTAAAATTGCATTAAAATTACATAAAAGTTACCATTTTGAGTAATAAACAGTTTGTAATAATATGTACATTTACCATGTTAAGTGGCTATCACCACTACTGAGTTCAATTTTTTCTTTTTTTTATAACCTGAAAGGAAACTCTGAACATATTAAGCAGTTGTGTCCCCCACCCAGTCCCTAGCAACCACTAATATAGTAATCTTTCAATCTCTCTAGATTTACCTATTCTGGAAATTTCACACATGGAATCATACAACATGTGCCCCTTTTTGTTTAGGTTTTTTAGTTAGCATAATGTTTTCAAGGTTCATTCATATTGTCGCATGAGTCAGTATTTTATTCCTTTTTGTGGCCAAATAATATTCCATTGCCTGGATATACCACAATATGTTCATCCACTTATCTGTTGATGGACACTTGAGTTATTTCTTCCCTTTGGGTGTTGTAAATATGCTGTTATTCCTTTGGGTATGCACGTAGGAGTGGGACTGCTGGGTTGCATGGTAACTCTGGTTTTTTTTTTTGGTTTTTTTTTTTTTTTTGGTTTTTTTTCTCCGGTACCGGGAAGGTAACTCTGTTTAACTTGCAGAGAAGCAACCTTGTTATATCCCCACCAGCAACAGACCTGAAATCTCAGTCTCTCCACAACTTCACCAGCACTTGTTACTTTCCGTTTTGCTAACTATGGCCCAACTCAGGGCATGCAAACCAGTACCCAGTCCCGACTCTTTATGGCATCATGAGATCTGAGGCCAGCCCATGCAAGATTTTGTCACCACATGACCACACTCTGTAATACTGACACTGACTTTCTTTGTGTGTGTGTGTGTGTGTGTGTGTGTGTATGTGTAAGTGTGTGTGTTTTCATAACCTGGCAAATTTGATTCAGCCAGGCCCTGTTGTAAGGAATCCATGTGTCTAAAAGCCAAGGCCCCACTGGTGGCTGGGAAAGGAACTTAAAACAGTAAAAGCTATGCACCTGAGCCCTGCGACAGAGGCCTTGTGTGCCTTCCCTGGGCTGGTTCCCCCTCACTTCCTCCTGCGAGGGGGTGCAGAGTGGGATGCAGAATCTGACAGAATCTGTGTCACTTGCTGTCCAGCTGGCCTCGTCCTGGGCTCTGAACATGAGACCCGTCTGGTGGCAAAGCTATTTAGCAACTACAGCAGGGTGGTACGGCCGGTGGAGGACCACAGCCACATAGTGGAGGTCACTGTGGGCCTGCAGCTCATCCAGCTCATCAATGTGGTGAGTAGCACTTGGGGACCCCCGACACCCAGCCTCACAGCCCAGCACGCTCCCCTCGGGCTCCCCTTTCTACCTTCTGAAGATGGAGTCTTCTCTTTTTTTAGGATGAAGTCAACCAAATTGTGACAACCAATGTTCGTCTGAAACAGGTAATTCAACTAGATACTATAACTGCTTTTCTTTTTCTTTGCATACTAGTGATTGAACCCAGAACCTAGAACCCAGGACCCTTGCACTGAGTTATATCCCCACCCCTTCTTGAAAATATTTATGTTGGGCTGGGGATATAGCTCAGCAGCACAGCACCTGCCTGGCAAGCATGAGGACCTGAGTTCACTTCCTGGTACCAAAAAAAAGGGGGACTTAGAACAGTACCTGCATGAAGACCACTAAGCTTGCTGCTATCATTTCCTAAGGCAGAGGCTGAACTCTGAACCAAACTTGTCTCACCAAAGCACCATGGTTGACTTAACCAGGTCCACCAGGGCTCTTGATTACCCTAGATTTTTTTTTAAATGCTTTTGGCTTTTTAACTGGCTACGTGTCTTCATTTCTAGCAATGGGTGGATTGCAACCTAAAATGGAATCCAGATGACTATGGTGGTGTGAAAAAAATCCACGTCCCCTCAGAAAAGATCTGGCGGCCGGACTTTGTTCTGTATAACAAGTAAGCAAAGGGGACAGACAGGGAGCGACCTGCCCGGGGCACACAGAGGGGTGGCGCTGTTAACATTAAATAACCCTTAAGACCCAGAGCCACACTGACAGGCTGGGGGGGGGGGGATATGGTGCCTGGTGTTATGAATAGAAACAATTATTGAGCCAAATGGAATCGGGGCTGTGGGTGGGGGACATTTGAGCCAAGAGCTCCTGAGGGATGTGCGGCATTAGCGGAGGCACCCAAACTGCCTATCGAGAGTCCTTGGAATCAAATGTCCTCACTACTAAACATGTCTGCCCCTGGGAGGAGGGTGCTATGCCTCACATCCTGAATGCCAGCCCCGACATTCACGGCCCCGGGTGCCTCCGTTGCCCGGCACTGGGCCCCGTGACAAACTGCACGTTGTGGAATTATAATGTGATTCAAGACACTCTGGTTTAATGACACATTCATTATCATATGCCCTTCATCTGTCAGGGAATGTTCATTTCAGAAAGCATCCTTCCCAGGCAGGAGCAGTTGTCGCCAGCCCAGAGGATTTACGCTCTGACATCACACAACATATGCGGAGATGGAGCTGTGCCTCCTAGCAACTGGGGGTGGGGCAGTGGAGGGAACAAAACCCTGGACCACGACGGCCTCCCCAGCTTTGACGTTTTTTGTTTTTTTTGTGTGTGGTGCTGGGCATCAAACCCAGGGCCTTGTGCATGGAGGAGCTCTACCACTGAGCCACATCCCCAGCCCCCAGCTTTGATTTTCTACCATATATTGCCCAGTTAGACTTAGGATTCACGCTTGAGTCAAATTACCCAATCAGCGGAGGACGCTTTAGGGGCAAATATGTGGATAGAGCAGAGTGTCTGTGTCACACTCCTCTTCAGTAAGAAGCTGGGGGCAAGCAATGGAAGTCTTCTAGCTCCTCACTCAAGAACACCTCAGTGGGGAGGGAGCCCCATTTTCCCTGCTCACAGGGCCATTGTATGGTCTTTTGCTCTTTAGGGCTTTTGGGAGCATGCAGTGCCTATAATATTCCAGACAAAGAGCCTCACTTCAGTCCCAAGAAAAAATCAAGAGGAAGAAAAATCTCTTGATTTATGATAGGAGGGACCAATACATACCATTTTGTCCTTGAAATTCCCCAGAGGAAATTCCTCACCTACAGATTCAGTGCATATTCTAATTTTTTCTTTCGTAGTGCTGGGACACAACCCGGTGTGTGCCAGGCAAGCACCCCACCACCACCGGGCTGTAGCCTCAGCCCTGGGTATCTATCCTACTTATTGTGCTGCTCTTTGCAAAGTCCCTGGAACACAGGCTGTGCATGAGAGAGTAACCTGCCCACTGAATAAGGTCTGCAGAAGCAGCTCATTAGTACTTTTTAAAAAAATTGAGATACTACTGCCAGCATTGGAAAATCAGGAAATAACACATTAAAATCTGGAATTTTAGTCTCTCTAGAAGAACGCAACACTCAAAACTTTGGAAATTTTCAGGCGGGATATGTGGCTCAGTGGTAGAGCACTTGCCTTGAATATATGAGGGCCTGGGTTTTATCTCCAGCATTTACCCATCCCCCAAGGAAATATTTAAATAAAAAAATCATTTTTTTGCGGGGGGAAGTACCAGGAATCAAACTCAGGACCTCATGTTTGCCAGGCAGGTGCTGTGCCACAGAGCTACATCCCCAGCCCCTAAGTAAAGAAGTCTTGATTTCTAGCCCTGAGCAAGCATCCAAATGGATGGGGCAGTGGGTCTCCCTCCCGCGTGGGCGGCCGGGCAGCCAGCATGGTGGCACCTGTCTGTTCCCAGCTCCCCTGTATGCATCCCTCACCTGCCTGGCCCTGGAGACACCTGAGTTTGAGGCCCCACCCCACTGAGTTCTAAACTGTTCTTTAAAAGGTAAGAAGACCCCTTCTGTAGTCTGCTTGTCCCAGTAATGAGCCACTGAAGGTGTTTTTTTTGTTTTGTTTTGTTTTTTGTTTTTCTTTTTTTTTGTTGTTTTTATTTCAAAAGCCTGGATTTCCCCTGCGAACTCTCAGGCATGTTAGGAAAGGGAAGCACTGCAAAAACCACTAGGACCGGGGAGAAAGGCTGAGAGGCAGTGGGCCCTTTATTTCTTGATAGCTGTAGAGTCCCACTCTGCTTCCCCAGATGCTCCAACACGGGGCTTAGACAGCACTCAGGAATCTCTATTTTTAACCAGCACCCCAGGGATTCTTAGTACCAGGAAAATTTGGGAAACATTGCCAGAGATTAAAAAACACTACACAAAAGAAAGTGTCTAGAAGTAGCACCCGAATAAGTAACAGCTGCCTTGTTAACCTCTCCAAGTATAGAGATGGCTCCTCAGGTCCTTGGAGCCGCTTTCCTCTCTTATCTCGTGTGCAGCGCAGATGGTGACTTCGCCATTGTCAAATTCACCAAAGTTCTCCTAGACTACACAGGCCACATCACATGGACACCTCCGGCCATCTTTAAAAGCTACTGTGAGATCATCGTCACCCACTTTCCCTTCGACGAGCAGAACTGCAGCATGAAGCTGGGCACGTGGACCTATGATGGCTCCGTGGTGGCCATCTATCCCGTGAGTGGCGAACGAGCTGTTTTTGGGGAATGCGTGCTTTGGGAATCCAGTTCTGCTCCTGGATAACCCTCAGCGCTCAGTATGTTAGAATCTGGGAATCATCTAGTTTGATGGTTCTCCATAAGTGGGAAGATTCTTTATGCAGGGCGCACGACAACTGGGAACTTAAATGAATTTCCTATACTCAGCACTGCCTCAAGAATTCCGACTTGATCCATGTGGGGTGGGGCTAGGGCACCAGTATATTTTAATGTTCCCAGGTGACTCACACATGGAGCCAAAATGAAGACTCTGGGTGGTCCAAACGCCCTTGAGTTATACAAAAGGAACCTAAGACTCCCAAATCAGTAGTGGCCCAGGGCCCCTTCCAGCATCTGAGCCACGCAGTGGACACTGTTGTCCTGTGGCTGCTGACCTCAAAGCCCTGCCCTCCTCAGGGTGACTCCGCGGGGGTTTCCCAACCTTGTTTCTTTCTCAGGAAAGTGACCAGCCAGACCTGAGCAACTTCATGGAGAGCGGAGAGTGGGTGATCAAGGAGTCCCGGGGCTGGAAGCACTGGGTGTTCTATTCCTGCTGCCCCAACACCCCCTACCTGGACATCACCTACCACTTTGTCATGCAGCGCCTGCCCCTCTACTTCATCGTCAACGTCATCATCCCCTGCCTGCTCTTCTCCTTCTTAACCAGCCTGGTGTTCTACCTGCCCACAGACTCAGGTGGGTGCAGTCGTCATGTCTGCTGCTGCTCTTTTAGGGTGAGCCAGACATAATCGAGTGCTAACAACCCCGTCATCATCACAGAGAGCACACACTCCCTGGGTGGCCGTGGGGGGGGGGGTGAACACGATGCAGGTGGGGCTCACAGCTGGTCAGACATTCAGAGCAGACCCTAAAGATGCACATCCCTAGCTCAGTCCAGTTCAAAGGAATGGACTGCCAACGCCTATTTGCTCTGTACCAACTGTGTGCCCAGAGATGGCCGCGGGAGTCATATGACCAGACCCTCTTCGTGTCCCCTCCCCCCTGGGGTCACTTTCTGTACACTGACTAGTACGGCTCTTGCGCCTTCACTCACTGTCTGCTGCTTGAAAAGAGCTTCTGCTGTTTTTCCAGATGGCAGTGTCTGTACCCCCGAGGCCACGCTTCCCAAGGGGCGGCTCTGCCTCCCATGTCAGGCTAGACAACTCACCTCTTACTGAGGAATCGCACCTGCGGTATAATTGCATCAGACACCAACAACCTGGCAGAAAGGAGGAAGGGGACCCATCTGCCCACCAGCGGGTCCCTACTCATAAGCAGTTTATGGCAGACAAATAGGGAAAAAAGACGGTGCCAACAGCCTGCAAATTCATGACAGGCGGCAATTTTATCAAAATGATGTTAAAAAGCCACAGGAGTTTACATTCGACTTTCCAACAAGGAAAAGAGTTGCTCAATCATTCAAAAAATGTGTGTTGGGCAAGCGTGATGTGGCAGAAATGCAGCGGCAAATACGGCAAGAGCGCTTGAGGGCTTCCCACCTCCAGGTGAGAACCGACAGTGTCGTTTGCGTCCACTGTGTATCCTGCATCTACGTCACCCTCAGTGTCCGCGGGGAGCTGGTCCCAGGACCTCTCCAGATACCGCAACGCACACGTGCTCAAGGCCCTTATATCAAAGAATGCGGCGTTTGCACATAGCCCACGCCCTTCCTCTCATGGGCTTTCAATGATCTGTAGATCATGTACAGCACTTAGCACAGTGTAAATGCTATATAAATAGTTACCATACTGTACTGCTCAGGCCACTGGTGGAGAACCTATGGCACGAGCAATACAGCGGGCTGTTTGTTATCACCGAAAGCTATAAAAGGTCCACTATCACTGGTTCAGGGAATAATGCGAAGAAAAAAGTTTGTATGCGTTCAGTACAGGTATAATTTTATTTTTTCAAATATTTTCCATCCGAAGTTGGTTGAATTCCTGGATGCAGAATGTACAAATGCAGAGGGCCGACGGTACTTCTAGTCTGGCAGCCGGCAGCACCCAGAATGGGGAAAGCTCCACTCCAGAAAGCAGGGCAGCACGAGGCTTCCTGGAAACACCAGCAGCAAGACGGGCCCAAGGACGGTGACTTCCAAGGGTTCTCTGCGCATCCTCAGTAGTCAAACCCCAGAAGGATGCCCCAGTACCTTCAGCCCCTATCTTCCTGCAGCTACGTGTGCCCAGCCAGGACTCCTGAGAGCCAGGGTCTGAAGAAAAGGGGCAGCAGGGAGTCCTGGTCCCTTAATATGAAGACAAAACAAAGCAAGGAATAAGTGAGAGGACCAACTTCCCCCTAGATAAAGATGGAAAAGGAGCAGAGAGATCAGACGGTTGCTCCAGATGCCAAAGACAGCCTCTTTGTCCTTGGTTTTGGGCCTGCAGTTTACTTCCATTCTGAGAAAAATATATGGATATTTCCAGGCAGCCCATCCTCCTGCTGCAGAGCAAGCCAACCAGGCTGTGGCTGAGCTTTACAAGGTTTAATGCATTTTTCTGCAGAAGGGTCCAGCGTGCCAACCCAGAACTCCACTTGATTCCCCGAGTTCCACCAAGAAGCAAAAATCCTAGGTCACAAGACGAAGTAGCTATCTGTCTCTAACAGAGATGCTTGCCACCGCCGTTGAGAGTAAAGGTGCTGAGGTCACGCAGAAAAAGTCTCCAGAGTAATATTCTGAGAACATGCCTCAGTGGTAAATGGACTTGAAGGGCTGCCCTAATAAAGTACCACAGACTGGGTGGTTTAAACAATGAAATTCATTTTCTCACACTTCCTGGAGGCTGGAAGCTGAGATCAAGGTGGGAACAGAGCTGGTTTCTCATGACCTTGGCCTGAAGATGACCCCCTTCTCCTGGGTCCTCACAAGGTCTTTCCTGTGCATGTCTGTGTCCCCATTTCCTCTTATAAGGACATCCGTGGTATTGGACGAGGGACCCCCAACTGACCTCGTTTTACCTTCCTCTTTAAAGACTCTCCAACTACTGTCACGTTTTGAGGTCCTGGGGTTTAGGATTTCAGCACGTAAATGAGTGGGTTGTTGCGTTTCTTCTTTTCATCTCTAGGGGAGAAGATGACACTGAGCATCTCTGTCTTACTGTCCCTGACTGTGTTCCTGCTGGTCATTGTGGAGCTGATCCCTTCCACCTCCAGTGCTGTGCCCTTGATCGGGAAATACATGTTGTTCACCATGGTGTTCGTCATCGCGTCCATCATCATCACGGTCATCGTCATCAACACCCACCACCGCTCCCCCAGCACGCACGTCATGCCCGAGTGGGTGCGGAAGGTGAGTGCCGACTTCACACGGCGGGGACCACCCCCCGGGTCTCCCCTTCCACACAGCCTGTGCAGTTCCAGCTGAGGGTTGGGGGAAGGAAATTTCCTTGGCTTCTTTCTAGGGATAACTTACGTAGTCTCCCCAGGAAGAGAGAAGGAAACAGAATTAATAAAGCCCATCCCAAATCCAAGCTTGAAGCACATCTTTGATTGGAGATGAATAAATCCCTTTTTATGCTGTGGCATAGTTAAGACTTCTGTGCCTCTTCTAATTTGTGAAGAGACCCGCTTATTTTTGCTGGTAGCGGCTGAGAACAGAATAAGGACTAGACAGGGAGGAGGGAGTAGAGTGTCAGAAAGTGAATTTCAGAGAGGAATTTGTCTCAAATACTTACATGGTTGGATTTTTTAAAGGGTTAACATTTCAAATATGTCCCCCTTTCCCTCCTTTCTTTTTTCCTTTTTGTGGTGCTGCTGGGGGTGGGGGATAAAACCTAGGGCCTCATACATGCTAGGCAAACACCAAACTGCTGCTGGCGATGATGCCCTTTCTTGCGATTAACACTCCCTATTTGTATAAGGACTGCTAGATGACTCCTGGTAATACCTTTGCTGTATTTTCTTCAGGCAAGAGAAACAGAGAACAGTGTAGGTATTTCGGGACTGTATTTGAGGCAAAGGGGTCCTTTCTTTAATCACATATTCCTGAGAACGCATTGCTAGGACCATTCTGTTGCCAATCCGGGCTTCTGAAGATTAAGCGCCGTTGGTGTCTTGTGAGGTCGCTGGCTGTGCACGGGCTCCCTCCAGTGGCGCACTGCTCACACTACAGAATCATAACCTGCCCGCGGTAATTGGACCTGCCACAGGGTATGAAGGAATCTCGAGAACATCTAGCGCAGATCTTTTGTTTTAAGGACAAGGAGGCTGAGGCCTAGAGATGCGGAGTGACTTGCCCAACATCACACTGATAATCAAAGACAGTTTGATGCTTGTCTGTGGTGACGATAATTCTCATTCATGGATTTTTTTTTTTTTTTGGCTTAGGTTTTTATCTACACGATTCCAAATATAATGTTTTTCTCCACGATGAAAAGACCATCCAGAGACAAACAAGAAAAAAAGATTTTCACAGAAGACATCGATATTTCTGACATTTCTGGGAAGCCAGGACCTCCTCCCATGGGGTTCCACTCCCCGCTGATCAAACACCCGGAGGTGAAGAGTGCCATCGAAGGCGTCAAATACATCGCAGAGACCATGAAGTCAGACCAGGAGTCCAATAACGTAAGCTCTGCGGCTCGAAATCGCACCTCTGGGTTTCAATAATCAAACACATGAGCCTGGATGGGAGGGTTTGGCTTGTCGGGGGGGTTGGCTCTCAGGACCCAGCCACTGACCTTAGATGTGCCTTAGTGACCACCTGTAGGCCACCCTGGCAACCGATCACGATGTGAATAATTATCCTAAAAACTAAGATCACAACTGAAGGGCCACAGAGGACGAATGGCATGAACACCATGGTCCGACGGCCGCCTCTGGAACTGTGTCTAACACTCTCCTCCCCACCAGGCGGCCGAGGAGTGGAAGTACGTGGCGATGGTGATGGACCACATTCTCCTCGGAGTCTTCATGCTGGTCTGTCTCATCGGAACCCTGGCTGTGTTCGCAGGCCGCCTCATTGAATTGAATCAGCAAGGATGAGCAGGTGGCCCAGGACCAGCCAGAGCAGACCGAGGCAGGAAGAGGAGGATCTGCCTGCTTTGATACACTGTCCTTCACCAAACTCAATTTTCTGTGCTGATGAATGAGGACGATCTGTGCTTCCCTAAGGTTACAGCCTTGAAGTGTTTTCTTCTTTGTTTGCTTTTTCCTTCCACCCTGCTGTGACTCCCTGGAGAGCGAACCCTTTTTAGTAACTGAAACTGGATCTTTAAAAAAAGTGTTCTCTTCCAAGTGGCTCTGGGGGAGTCCTGCCCAGGTAACCAAGGTTTCCTGTTGCGCTGTCATTGCTAACCGCTAAAGCAGTGCCCTGAGCTGAACAGCCAGTTTTATTCCCACTAGGGAAGCCCACCTAGCAGGCCTCAAAAGGTAAAGCATTTGCTCTGGGGAGAGAAGAAACAGTAGAAAGGGAGTAAAGTAACCAGGATGGCCACTAAAATACAAACAGCATCAGAAACCCTTGTGTAAAGGAAATCTCTGGAACTGGGAGGTAGGGAACATGCTCAGGTGGGTTTAGTTTTTGGAGGGGGATGCTGAGGATTGAATCCAGGGCCTTACGAGGGCTGAGCATGCACTGTAGTGCTGATGTGCACCTTTAATGGGCGCCTGGTTTTGATCCTCCAGGTTCGAGGGAAATAGGTCAGAACACTGAGTGTGAGCATTAGGCACTATGGGAACCATCTCACCTATATGGTTTTATTTCACTCTATCCCAGAGTGTCTCTATTTCATGAATAAGGAAGCTGAATTCCAGGGAGGTCAAGGGCTTTGGTCAAGCTAAAAGTGGAAACACTGGGCTTTTGGAAGCAGACCTTGAGATTCCCACTGACTCCGGGTTGAGCTGTCCTCTCACTTGCTCCCCCCGCTCACCCCAGCTTAAGGAGGTGTCTTGGTTACTTTTCTCTCGTTTCTGGGACAAAATACCTGATGCCCAAAATTAAGGAAGGAAAGGTTTATTTTGCTTACAGTTTGTGGAGGTTTCAGTCCGTACTTGGCAGACTACAAGGCAGACTGGCACATGGCAGAGGGCTACAGCTCATGGCGTCCGAACACAGCAAAAGCAACAAACACATACAAGGGAGGAAATGGCCAGAAGCACCCTCTTCCTCTCCCTTACATATGCAAACTATCCACCCCAGGGTGGGTGCAGCTCTCACACCCATAATCAATCAAACTCTAAAAGCCTGCCCCATGGCCACATGAGGCTTTGGGGGGACACCCAGACACAAACCATAACAGGAGGCCACTCTGGGCCTGGCCAGTGCTTCTGAGGGCCTCAGTCTTGCAGTCAGTTATCATTCTTCCTCTTGATTAAGTCTCTTGCCTTCTGTTCTCCATCCTTCCACCGATGATGTTTGGGGCTCAAGTCCAATAAATGAAACCAGAAATACCGTACCAATTCTAAAATTCTAAGGAAATAAGAGAGGAAATGATTTCTTTTCTCCATAGTAAACCTTAAACTTCAACATAGTCTACTCCAGAATGAGAAACTGGGTGGGCTGGGGCTTAGAAACACCTTGAAATTACCAGAATACACCTAACCTGGGTCAGCTCCAGGGAAAAGGGGTACATGGGACAGCTGGGGGAGGGGCCTCCTCAGTACAGGTGTTGTCAATGCACTCTGCTGTTGCACGCCCTGCACACACCTGCAACACAGCTGGTGCCATCATTTCAGTGTAAGGCCATGTCCTGCCAGGCAGGATGGTGCGTACCTATAATGCCAGCTATACGGGAGGTTGAGGTGGGAAGATCGTGAGTTCAAGGCTGGCCTGCACTACATAGTGAGACCCTTTCTCCAAAAAATAAAATAAACTATCTGGCAGTATAGCTCTGTGGCTGAGCCCTTGCCTAGCATGTATAAGGTCTTGGGTTCAACCCCTAGGACCAAAAATAAAAAGAGTAAGCTTTTTAGTTTTCCCATTTCAAAGAGAAAACAGTTTGGCAGTTCCTAAACAATTTACACACAGAATTACTATATGATCCAACAATTCCACTACTAGGTACATATTCAAAGGAACTGAAAGCAGGGGCTTGAAGAGGTATTCGTACACCAATGTTCATAGCAGCAAATAGTTAAAAGGAAGAAACACCTGTCATAGCCATTGATGGACGAATAAAGGAAATGTGCTGTATGCATACATGCTTAGCCTTAAAAAGGAAGGAAATCCATGCAACAATACGGATAAAACATGCTGAGAGAAACGAGCATGATGCAAAGGACAAATATAGTTTGATTCCACTTACGGGAGGTTCTTGGAAAGTTAGAGAGGACAAAGAGTAGAGGTTAGCGGGGGCTGGGCAGAGGGGCGCGGGGTTAGTGTTTAGAGGGCGCGGGTTTCACTATGGGAAGCTCTAGGGTGGACAGTGGTGATGGTAGCATAACACTGTCAGTGCGCTGTGCCTCTGAGCTAGAACTTAAAAATAATTCGAGTAGTAAATCTTGTGTCCCGTTACATTTTTAAGAAAAGAGCAAACACAGCACCCAAGCACTGACCATAGAATCAGAGGAGTGACAAATCGCTTCATCCACTCATCTCATTTCATGGACAAGGAAACGAGGACTCAGGCCCAGGGACGTGGCCTCCCCCAGGTTAGAGAGCTGGTTAGTGACAAGCCAGGTTCCTAACTCCTGCTCTGCTGCTGCTTCCATTTCTCCCCAAGGGGGCTCCTCCCACATGTCTCCATTGCCCCTGGGCAGCCCTGAGCGACGTGACGTCACAGGTGCCCGTCCGCATCTCCTATGTTGGCCCCATCATCCGCGAAGATTTCCATTTTTGGCCTATCTTACAAGTCACTGAAGGCCTGGTAGCCAGAAGGCCCCTGGGGAAACAGGAAGGGGGACAGGGAGCTGGGATCCATCCTCACCTAGAGGTGTCTGGTGAGGGCCCAGCCCCAGCTGGCCCTGTGTGGCCCAGTTGATGAGCTTATTTCATTTTGATAAAATAAATGATACTTATTTTACATGAGGTCTCCAGGGCAGGGCTTTGCCATGGGATCTGAGGATTATCAATCACTTCCGCCTCCCTCCCTCTGTCCTTCCCTCTTTCTCTCCTACCTGAGGACACAAGAGAGTAGCCATCTCCAAGCTAGGACCAGCATGTGAGAGAATAAAGTTCTGTTGTTTAAGCAGCCCAGCCCTTGGTTTTGTCATGAAAGTCTGAATTGGCTAAGGTAAAGCCGGAAGTCCAAAGCACACTGTTGACAGGGTTTCTTCCCACACCAGGCTCTGAGAGAGACGCCCTTCCATGCCTTGATTCTAACACCTTTGCCATTCCCTGGCTTGGGGAGCATAACTCCAGTCTCTGACCCATCTTCACAGCCTTTGTCCTCGTGTCTCTATGTTGCCTCCTTTTCTGTCTCTGTAAGGACCCTTGTCACTGGATTTAGGGTCATCCCTAAATCCAGGATCATCTCATCACAAGACCTTGAGCTTAACTACATCTGCAGCCGGGTGCACCCCTGTAATCTCAGCACTCTGGGAGGCTGAAGCAGGAGGATCGAAAGTTTGAACTCAGCCTAGGTGACTTAGTGACACCGCAAGACCCTCTCATAAAATGAAAAATTAAAAGAAAGAAAAAGGGTAGAGATGTGGCTCACTGTGAAGGCCCTGGGTTCAATCCCCAGTACAGCAAAAACTAAAACCAGAGGACTAACCAGGGAGCAGCATGGCGTCCAGAGAGAGGTTGTGGGCAGACATAATCTTTCCAGAGCCCGGAAGACAGCAGTGGGGCGAAGGCCCTGGGCTCACCTCCAGTCCCCCGACATGCTCAGCCCTTCCCTGATCCCACCTGGACAGAGGGAAACGGCAGCTGGGCCTTGCCGCTCACTGTGGGAGCCGCGGCATTTCCGGGTGGGAGAGCTCTAAGCCTGCAAGCTCCAGTCCCCCACCCCAGCTTGAGGCTACCAGCACCTGGTGGAGACTTTCGCACACTCAAAGAGCTTGGAGGAGCCCGCTGGAGCCAAGGACCCCTGCAGGAGAGCAGTACCCAACCTGATCACCAACCTGCAGGGCCCGAGGGCCAGGGCACTCCAGCCAGGGCAGCCTCAGTCCCATGGGCCCAGGTGGCCGGCTCAGCAGGAACCTGACCCCAAGCTCTCACGTGCTCATAGGACGGCCTGTGGAAGGTGCTTGGATCACGGTGGGGCGTCGCTGAAAGCGCTGTGAGGAGGTTTGGCCTGGACGGAAGCGGTGTCTCACTGGGGGTGACCTGGCAGGGTTTATCTCCCTCCTAGGATCCTCCCTTCCCACGCTGCTTCTTCGCCACCATGATGTGAGCGCCTGTGCCTCCGCCACGCCCTCTACCATTCTGCCTCCGCCTTGGAGCCAGCAACTGCACCCCCTGGACTGAAACCGTGAACCCAAGTAAACTTTGCCTCCTTTACGGTGGGCGTCAGATATGGTGTCCCAGTGAGGAGGAACGCTGCTTAGGCAGGACCTACAAGGAAATCTGGTGACATCTGACGCGAGTCTACCGTTTAGTCACTGGTATTGAATCTTTTTGCCGAGGGCCTCGGGCATAGTGGCAAACGCTGGGCCTCCAGCCGGACCGGCTGAACCTCTTTTTCACAAATGCACCACGTCTGTGCCACCAATAGGGGGCGCTGGGTGACGAGTACATGGGAACGCTCTGTACTACCTTCAGCTTTTCTGTAAATCTAAAATCATCCTTCCCGCAAAGCTTATTCAAAATTAGAGCTGGGAAGGAAAGGATTAAAAAGAAAAAGTCCGGAATGGAGAGGATGTGGAGAAGTTGGAACCCTGGGTCCTGCTGATGGGAATATAAAATGGGTGCAGCTACCACGCCAAATAGTTTGGCAATTTCCTGAGAAATTACACACAGAATAACCCAGCATTGCACGTCTCGGTCTGTGTCCAGTGGAACCGAAAGCAGGGACTTGAACAGATCTCTGGATGCCAATGTGCATAGCAGCATCATTCACAATAGCCAAAAGAAAGAACCAACCTAATAATCCATCAGCACACAGCAGATGAAGGAAATGTGTATACACATATCGGAACATCAGCCTTCAAAAGGACTGAGATTTTGACATGGATAAATCTTAAAAACACTATGCTAAGTGAAATATGCTGATATGAAGGTTATGTATATGGTGTGATTCCACTTATGCCAGCTACCTGGAGGGGTCTGGATCATAGAAACAGGAAACTAGAAGTTACGAAGGATGGGAGGGGGGTGTTGTTAAGAATAGAGTTTTGGTTTGATGAAAAAGTTCTGAGGTGAGTGGTGGTGATGACTGCACAACTTGTGAACATACATAGTGCCACAGAGCCAGACCCTTAAAAATAGCTGCAGTGGCTTTACCTATAGCTTGTCAGAATAGAAACTGTTTTCTTTTTTTAAATTACAAAATGCGCTGGGCATGGTGGCACACTACTATAATCCCAGCACTTGGGAGACTGAGGCAGGAGCCTTGACGAGAGTTTGAGGCCAGCGTGGGCTACATAGTGAGTTCAAAGCCAGTCTGAACTACATAGTGAGACCCTGTCTTAAAAACAAACAAATAAATTATAAAATGCTCCTTTCTGCTGACCTACGGGTGCATGTCTGTAATCCCAGCATTTGGGAGACTGAGGCAGGAGGGTCCTTGGAAGTTCAAGGCCAGTCTGAATTAGAATGAAATTCTGTCCCAGAATACCTTAAGAAAAAAAAAGTTTCTTTCTTATCCTTGAAAAGGGTTCTTGGGTGTGGACTGGGTCAAAATGGGGCACTGACAAAGAAGCTAACTTCCTGTCCGTCCGAGGAGACACCATCTGTCTCTACACCCATCCTGAAGGAGTCTGGCTTTCTCCACTAAGCGCAGACCGGCAGATTTTTTCCTTAGGAATTTAACTTGAAAAGTGGAGCAGGAACATTGTGCCAATTCAATACAACAGAGGAATGGATAAAGGAAATGTAGTATGTACACACAGTGGGTGTGTACCA